TAATAATAATAATAATAATAATAATAATAATAATAATAATATTTGGAACATCAACAAAACCGATCTCTTCTACAAGCATTTTCTGCACAGCTCAGAATCAGTCACCCAGGAAAATACCCTAAAGACTTGAAGACTTTAGTGCAGTGATGATGTACGATCACAGAAATAAATTCTACATTTCTAGGGACCCAGAACCTTTAATGGCAATGCTTGACAAGACACAGTCAGACATTTCCAAGCTCCACATTTAGGCGACACAAAAGGTGGGACTCATTTGCCTGTACATAGGTGTCTAGCGCCAGCTGAAATGCCCTAGGTTATCCTGGATCTGATCCATCTGATCTCTCTTGCTGTCCCAGAAGGACACAAGGCTCCATGTGGATGTTTCAGGCACTAGAAGGTGTCTTAAGTGTATGGGCAATTGAACGAAGCCCAAAGTTAAAAGAAAAATTATGCTTCTCAGCTTTTAGGACATATTTGGAAGAACGTGTATCATAATAGATTATATACTTTCCCTCTGCAGTACTAAAACCTACTGAAAGAACTCCACATGATGCTTAGTAACCCAATATTATTAGAATTAGTTTGCAGTCATGTTTCTGTATTTGAACTCATCACAATGATGTCTGACCATTACTGCGGAACCATTGCTGTTTCACTGTGTCATATCTGTGAGTTGGATCCATTGCTAGAGACAAACACAGCGCTTTACAGTGAGAGAAGTCATTGGCACAAAAAGTTTGTATTTGTGGGTGCCCAGCACACACTGGGACACATGAATGCATTTTGGTGCTGTATAGAGCGTCAGTGATTTTGCTAGAGTTCCATATGGATCCTATGGACAATTCATCAATTACAGGGCTTGGATCCAACTTGAGAAAATGGTAATGTTATACCCTTGGGGCTCAGGGAAGTGAAAGTAGGGAATGTAATAAAGCACATGTTTTTTTGCGTTAGTAAAACACATCTGGAAGGATTTGATTTATTTTATTTTTTTAATGACTTTTTTTTAGAGGAGAAGACTAGCATTTATAGGCTTCAGAAAACTGTGTTTTAAGAAGGGAGTTATATGAGGAGATACTGAAAGCACTGCAGACAGGAGTTAGAGGGTTCTGAGAATATGGATCCACACGTAATTTCCTGTAATACTTCAGTTATCAGCAGAGCGAAAATCGGCCTTCATAGGTAAGGGGTCAGATTCAGCTCTGAGATCACTCCAGTCACACCAAGAATGGTTTTAGCCTCATGGTTTTTGTTCTAACACCGGGTTTCTATTCTATTCCGAGAATAGATGTGCA